ATACAATTTTCAGCATCTAGACTTTATTTGTTTTATTGGCAGTACTGAAGATGGAACACAGGGCTTTGTACTTAAATGAGTCCCCAACCTCTTCATTTCACTCTGAGTCAGGGTTTTGCTTAGTTCCCCAGGCTGACCTTGAACCCTCAGCCCTCCTGTCAGCCTCCTGAGCAGCTGGGATTATAGACATGTGCCCCTTGCCCAGCTCGGGGTATAGATTTTAAAGGTGAATATTGCCCTTCTACGCTTCTATACTTTCAAAAAAGAACAAGTTCCCCTTATTGGTAGCATCACATTCCAAAGTTTGATGTTAATAAAAAGATGCGACATGCTTGTGACCCTCAGAGGGCCCAGGTCCCCTTAGCTGCAGGGTAAGCTTCAGTGCATTACCCCCCAGGGACTTACAGCAGGTAGTGGACAACTCAGAATCAGTTCAAACTAGTGTTAATTATTTTATTTATTTTCACTAATTAACAATCTAATCAGAAGTCATTTATATCGCCTGCTCCAGAATTCAACTTGTTTCATTTTAATTTCTTAGATACTAGAGGAGGTATTGATTTTCTTCTCTTTGAGTGCATTGTAGCTTATTTACAGTAATTATAACAGAGACCCCTTCTCTTGCTTGCCTAGTTTCACGAATTTCTGCCTTCACTTTGGTGTATCACTTTTTAGTGACTGCCTTTTGTTGAGCATTTCCTATGAGCTAGCCACTCTTAAGTGATTTAATGCATTATATCATTAACTATTACAATAGACTTCCAAGACCAATATGGTTAGCCGTGTTTTCCCCTGACGAATGGAGGCTTGTGAAGATGAATAAGCAGCCCCAAGTTAAGAAGCTGTACCAAGTTTGCCTACTGGGAAACAGCGGGTTGGCACCCAGACCTCTATGATTCCCAAGCCTTGCATGGTGTGTTTCTTTCTGTACACTGGCGTAGTATTAGGAGTTTAGGGAAAGGAACACCATCTTGTGTTTCCTAAGTAACTATTTTTGAATTTTTTATGTTTTATCATTAAGACAATGGCTAGGGAGTGGGGAAAACAGAATTTCTGTTTGCTTTGTTGTTAAGTAATGACAGGGACCAAGAGAAATTTCACACTCTAGAGATAGACTCACTGGGTCAAGTGCAAGGTGAAGAGTCAGGGTTAAGAAAGGAATAAAACTTAAGAACAGGAAAATGGCAAAACTAGTAGCAACGGAGGGGTATTGATTTATTTTCAACTTGTTTCCTCATTGAAGGCAGTCAGAACAATTTCCTCTTGCTCCATTGGCTTTCAATTCCTTTTCAAGTGGAGTAGGAGGTAAAGAAGGGGATCCATTAGTTGAGGTGAAAGGAAAGATGGTGAAGAATGAAAAAAAGAAATAAATATGTAGAAACAGCATTTTAGATTGGGTCTTCGCATTGGAAAGGCATAGGATAGAACAGATAGTAACATTTCCAGAGGAGATTTTTATTTGGATTGTTGTGAAGTAGATTCACTTTTCAGATCAATGAGATAATTTGCAATGGAAGGAATGCCAAAGGTAGCTCTGAATAAATCTGAATTTGTTCATATGATAAGAGAGTTGCAATGTGGAATCAGTCCCAAGTTTTTTTAGTTCTTATGATTCTCTGTAGGCATCCTCTACTTGTGGGAGTGATTGCCATGACCCTTTAGGCCTGAGTTTGCTTACAGAGTAAAATATGTAAGGGTTATCACTTTATGTTTGTAGCGTGCTTCTCTATAGTCCCCTTGTAATTCACAAAGTACTTGTAGTTATATTGTCTCACTAATGCATTGGGATGGTAGTAAAAAGCTTGTCCAAGGTCATAGGAGTTGTAAGTTATAGGACTCAATACTTGTATTAAGGGTTCTTGATTTTGTGGTCATTTGTTCTTAAAACAGGCAAAATCTTGACTAACGACAATCTGTATAGTAGATTATTAGTGTTCTGTGCATTATGCAGTATTGTTCCTCATGACACAAAGCAGAAGGAAACTTTCAAAAAATTTAATAAAATTAAAATAGGAGTTTGAAATGTATTTAATCTCAGTATTGCTGTTATTTTTATGTAAACAGAACCCTTCTCCTGGAACTGATTATTTTCAACCCAGAGTAACAAACTTCGCTTGTAAAAGTCTGGATAATAAGTATCAGGCTTTTCAACTGTTCAGCTTTAGTTCTTGTCATGTGAAAGCAATTGTGCAGTACATGTAAATGAGTGAGTATGGCTGGACTTTAATAAAATTTTATTCATGGACTGTGAAATTTTAATTTCTTATAATTTATATATGGCACAAATTTTTTTGATTTTTTTTCAGTCATTTAAATTATGAAACTGTCCATAGCTCCAAGGCCAAAATGAAAGAGGTAGTAGCCTGGACTTCACCAGAAGGTCTCAGCTTGCCTCTGCTGGTTTAGTCATTGCATTTTCATTCAAAAGGGTGTTAACTCTTGGCTGGATAGGGTGCCGAAAGGGCAATGGTCTTACGTTCTTGATTCTTGGTTCTCTCCATAATGTATTCTGTCTTTGATGTTTTCCACTCACTCCACTCATGCCTTGAGACTTTGCTGCATTCCCATATCTCCTTAGTGCAAATATTACAACCAGTGAATAATCCCATGGTTTCAGAACTTACAGGACCATCTTCAGTGTGGTCCAGAAGACTTTTGATCAGTTCTGCTCCCTGCATTCAGACCACACCTTGTAGTTTTTCCTTATTGAGGTCCACTTTGGCATAGTCAGGTATGGATCTCTCTCAGACTGTAGCACAGAGCTAAATAACCCATGTTCATGAAACTGCATACTTGTATTAACAGGCATAAATTGGCAAGAGATTTTACCTTGAAGTATGAATGTTAAGAGCTAAAGCTGTATTCTTTATACCTTAGTAAGCAAATGGCACTGTGATGACTTTATAGACTGACAGTCTAACGTTCTAGTTGGCATTCATTCAAAAGGTATCCAGAAACTGAAATCTCTACAGCTCTTTGCTCTCAATATGACAAACTCCTTCCCAGGAGATTTCTGAGAGCTTTCCCTTCTATAGAGTAGCCTCCTGGAGCAAACAGCCTTTCTCACACCACTTCAGGCACTCACTTTTGGAAACTGGGAGGGCAGGGTCCATTTAAATATGCAGAACCTCAGAGGAGTGTTAAGTGCAGTCCTTTCAGAGGCGGTTTCCCTGGCCTGCTGTGCTCACAAGCAGCGTAGTTATTTGAACATTAACTCCAGATTGCTCCCTTCCTGTTGTGTTTGGTCTTATTTTAGCTTTCTGGTTTTACTTTTCCCAGCTTGAGTAAATTGAGGTGGGTGTGGCCACAAAATTGAGGTGCTGATTCTAAGGGTGTCTTGGACTCCTCCTTAACTTTTCTGTGCCCCCACCTTGTAGCCACATCCAAACCAGGGACAAGCAAGGCAGTGGGGAGGCAAAAAGTCTCTGTCAGGTGACTGGCTGCCTTCCAGAGGCTTGGGATGTTTGGACTTCAATGTTAGTAAAATCCTGTTTCTAGCATAAAAATAAATGAGACTCTGCTGAGTTTAAATGAAATGCCAAAATATACTTTTCTTTAGAAAAATGAATACTTTTAATTAAGTAAAGTAAAATTTGAAAAGTGTAGATGTTAACTTCCTGATTACTAAAATTAGTTAAATCTAGAGGGTGGTTAGCTCACTTTTTATAACTGGGGATCCCTACTGCTTAAGTCCTTTCATTCAGTGATTCATTTAAATTATTATTTTTACTAGCATTGTCCTTAATACAATTAGTAAAATTGAAGGAGAAACTTGAAAAATTTGAGATTCCTTATCTAACAGTGCAAGGGATTCATGCTAAGTATATCTGATATCATGTTCAACTTTTGAGCCTTTGTGATTTTACAAATTGCTTGCTTAGTGCATTTTTTAGAAGTCGGAGAACAGTTAAAAAGTTACTTTTGGTTATGAATACAGTTGTGTGTTGCTCAACAATAGGGCTGCTCCCTGAGAAGTTAGCTTGAGTGATGTCACAGTTTCGCTCACACCAGCCCGTGTGCCTGTGACATCCCTGTTACACACGTGGCCCATTCTTGATGGAACGGCCTCATGTGTCACAGACTTGTAAGTAGACCTCCTCCGGATTCGGTCCAAACAGTAAAGCTGGACTGACTGGCAGTGTGATAGACAAACTCCTCTAAACCACCCAGCCTCAAGTCTCCTGCTTTAGTGGTGGCTGGTTTGGTTTCAGCATTGGTTTTGGATTTTTTTCATACAACGATTGTTTTTAAGAATAATAATCTACCTCTGTGGACTGCCTTATGGTGATTTTTAAACTAAAGCTTAGGTGAGCAGTCGACACTCTAGAATAACATGTTTCTCTTAAGGCCCTGCTGCTCCCTTCTTGATGCAATGTCGTTTATTTGTAAAAGACAAATTGTGTGAACATCTGCTTCAGGACTACTCAGTCATCCGCAGAAGAACTGCTCTTCATTTCTTTTTGTTTCTTCTTTTACCCTATAGAATTGCTCTCTGTTCTCTTATTCAGCCTACTACATGTTAGAAAATCTTTGCCAAATACACCTTCCTTTCAATATACCACTGTAGAATATTTCATTATTCAGAACTAAGGGATAAGTTGCTTAAAAGACTTATTTAAGCAATTGATAAAAGACATTTATGGTGCGAAGTCCTCTGCATTTCCCAGGCCCAGAGTATAATCAGGACATGAGCCTCTCATTGCTGAAATTTGGAACATCTCTTGAAAACCTGCACAATCTGCTTACCCTAAAGTTCCTGCCCAAAAAGTAATCTTAGCTCTTCTACCTAGCAGTGCCATTAACTTAAATATGAGACTGCTGACAAATAAACACTCCTACTGGTCATGGTCTAACATACCCTGCCATCCCTGTGATGCATGTTTTCTGAGGTCTTGTCACAGGAAGGCCGAGAGCATGACACTTGCGCCTAGTTGTGACTAATGAAATGCACTCAGAGCTCATTCTTTGCATTAACCCATTTTCTGCTTTTCTCTCTACAGGTTTGTGACTCAGATACCATGCTTGACCCTGCCTCATCCGTGGAGATGGTAAAAGTTTTAGAGGAAGACCCTATGGTTGGAGGTGTTGGGGGAGATGTCCAGGTGCACATGGCTTCTTTTTTGGCATGCGACACTTTTAATATTCATTGATTCACTGGATATGTACTTATTGCATATATACTTAATTCTGTGCTAATTACTGTTCTCAATGCTCATGGCACATTGGACTGTGCCTTATATGGCCTCTTTTCTAGCTAAATTGAAATGATTTATGATTTTCTTGCCAGCATATAACCTGTAGCTACAGTGGCTGATAATTTATATACAATATGACATAGATGTCTAATGCTTTCCACTATACACCCTTGGTCAAAAACTTAATGTTCAAAGTTCTAAAAAACTAAAATTATAAGTTCTAAAAAGTGCTAAAATTTGACATTGGAGTTCAGTTAGCTACAAGAGTAGAGAAATGGAAGTATGTAGAGAATAGATTACGTCTTATACCTCTGTGCTTAAATGGTAGCCAAATTGTGGTTGGTAAAAGATAAAAATGGAAAAGCAAGTACAGGAAAGAGAAATAGAACTCAAACTTACACTAGTGAGAAAGGAAAAAGTTAATAAGTGAGTTTTCCAATATCACCCATCCTTTATTATCAATAGAGAAACTGTTTGTGAACAACAAATACAAATGAAGCAAATTTGAATCCTATAAGGTGGAAAAAAAAAAAAAAACAAACCCAGGTGTATATGAAAGAGTAGTACTATGATGAAAAGGAGTCCTCTGAAAACATGACAAAGGAACACTGAAAACTGACAAATGAAGTTAGGTTTTAGCAAAAAAAAAATAAGAGATATGGAAAGTGAACATTAATGTTTGATGTTGTATTGTCATCTTGTCCATCTGTATCAGCATGTTGATAGTGAAGGCAAAGGAATGCATCAAAAAGAAAAAAGAAAGCCCGATGGTAATAAGAAGGCATGCACACTCCAGAGGAAATTGCAGTCCAAGTGAGACCGAGAGAGACTTTAGACATATTGCCAAGAAGCAGCTTATAATTTGCAATAGTCGTTATAGGAAGCATTATTTCAGGATTCAAATTTTATGGGGTGGTCAGAGCCATGTCCTTCATCACCAGCATTACAGAGAAGAACAGCAAAGGAAGCAAAGTTGAACCGGAGCAGTAGGAAATTAACCAGAGCAGCAGGGACTAGGACATTCAAACCTTCATGTTGTTGGTGACAGGGAGGAATGCTTGAGAGAAATCTATGGACTGACATGCACACACAACTGAAAACAGAGAAGAAAAATGTAACCATGTCAAAAAGAGAAAAGATGCCAAAATAGCAGTAGAGAACAACAAATCTCATGCTAAGTTGCAATCTCAGGATGCTTCAGGTTTGCTTGGTATTTGCAGCTGACACTTACTTTTTATTTATTTCCTTTGCAGATTTTAAACAAGTATGATTCCTGGATATCTTTCCTGAGCAGTGTGAGATACTGGATGGCTTTTAACATAGAAAGGGCCTGTCAGTCCTATTTCGGGTGTGTCCAGTGCATCAGTGGACCTCTGGGAATGTACAGAAACTCTTTGCTGCACGAGTTTGTGGAAGACTGGTACAGTCAAGAGTTCATGGGCAACCAGTGTAGTTTTGGTGACGACAGGCACCTAACGAATCGGGTGCTGAGTCTGGGCTATGCCACGAAATACACAGCTCGATCCAAGTGCCTTACCGAAACCCCAATCGAGTATCTCAGATGGTTGAACCAGCAGACCCGCTGGAGCAAGTCTTACTTCCGAGAGTGGCTATACAATGCAATGTGGTTCCATAAGCATCACTTGTGGATGACCTATGAGGCAGTCATCACTGGATTTTTCCCTTTCTTTCTCATTGCCACTGTAATCCAGCTCTTCTATAGGGGTAAAATATGGAACATCCTTCTCTTCTTGTTAACTGTCCAGCTGGTAGGCCTCATAAAATCATCGTTTGCCAGCTGCCTCAGAGGAAACATCGTCATGGTCTTTATGTCTCTCTACTCCGTGTTGTACATGTCAAGTTTACTTCCTGCCAAAATGTTTGCAATTGCAACAATAAACAAAGCTGGGTGGGGTACATCCGGAAGGAAAACCATTGTTGTCAACTTCATAGGACTCATCCCAGTGTCAGTTTGGTTTACAATTCTCCTGGGTGGTGTGATTTTCACCATTTATAAGGAATCTAAAAAGCCATTTTCTGAATCCAAACAGACAGTTTTAATTGTTGGAACCCTGCTCTACGCATGCTATTGGGTCATGCTGTTGACACTGTACGTGGTCCTCATCAATAAGTGTGGCAGGCGGAAGAAAGGACAACAGTATGACATGGTGCTGGACGTATGACCGTCCCTGGTTTGACATTGCAGTCACACTCCAGTGATTCCCTCGAGGGGCTGTACAGTTTGTGGCCACAGATAGCGCCACCAAGGAGACACATCACTGCTGCTGGAACTTGAACAAAGACATTTATATGGGTTTCTTTTGATTCTGCCAAAGTGAAATGATGTATCAGTAAGCAGACCGTGAGGTGTGACCTGTTACGTGTATGAGGTGGAATGAATGCCTTGTTTATGCACTTTGTCCTGACTGTGCGTCCGCCTGACAGTGCTGCCCTATATACCTCACTAGCCGTGCTTTTCTGGGTTACCATGGAAGAAAACGTTTTGGAAACTCAAGGAAAAGTTCTTTCAACCTATACAACATAACTTACAGACTGTTTGATAGCTAATGTTTTGGAAGGATTTTCTGTTTTAATTATACCAAATGAAATGCCAAAGGAAATTTTAAAGGCTGTTGGCTGTGCTGTGTTTTGATATAATTGTACTGTGTTTTAAAATTTTGTATGCCAATTTTTAAAACAAATTTTGCATATTCTATATTTTACTTCTCTGCCAAAATACAACTGTTCTTTCTTTATTTTTAATAAAATAGGCTCTGAAAAAATTCATGTTTAAAAAAAATACCTGCCCAAAATGTGAAGCTTGGTTGACTGAATTTCATGATAGAATAAAATGTTTTTCTGTCCTTCTACCTTTTAAAACTGAATAGTTTATTTCTGTGAAAATGTTTTAAAACTTTCAATATTTTAACTTTATTTACATTTCTTTTGGAAAAGGCCAATATACCTGTCACACTTTGGGAGTAAACATACATATTTACTTGTGTACAGAAAGAAATCATTGAAAATTGAGGCCAAAGGGGTAGAAACGTGCAATTTTTTTCATGCAATTTTTTAAAAGGGAGGCTAGTTATTGAAAAGAAACACTAGATACCCAGCACTGGACAAAACCTGAGTATCAAGGGTGAATAATCTAGAAATTCTGTCAGGTTTCCCAGGCCAAGTCAAACGGGAAGCAGAAAACTTGTGCATATGCTTTGGACAAATACAATGCAGAGCTATGTGTACCTGTGTTTCACCTGCCTGTTTTTTCTGCTTGCCAATTCCATATTACATGTTAATATGATGTTTACAGGGGTAAAGTGGATAAATTCTAATAATTATAAAGCATACAGATAGATAGACTGTCTTATCTTCTGTGGAGGTTTCTTCTAAACTGTGCAGATAACGGCTTCATTTCTTCTGTTCTTGGCATCTGTAAAAATGTCTATGTAGTAGAAGTGATATCAAGGTTTAATAAATATATCAAGGATTGGCCTACCTATATAAAGATAATGAACCAGGTACTCTAAACTTGACTAATCCAGTTACCAAGGAGCCTCAGTGATGCAGTTTGGCCTGTTACATGGTCGATCTTGCTGTGTAGCTGGTGCTGTGTAGACCTGTGTTAAAACGCAATCAGAATACACAAATAGTTAAAGGATACTGTGGTGAAGCAGACACGTGAAGACACGCTTTCTGCCTCAATGCTTCCTTTTCTGCAGACAACTGCTAGAAAAAGCTGCACATTCTACCTTCTAAGAGCAAAGAGGTACATTCGCATTCACAAACTCTCACTGATTTGAGAGCTTGTGGGATAAACACACCATGCCAATAAATGAGACTAAAACTTGAGTTTGCCTTTTTAACTATTTATGTTGTAAGTTAAGCTTTTAAAACATTCGAATGTCAAATCTCTCATTCTTATAAAAATTGAATTAATTGCCTGTATTTATTTTAGCAATTATTCAATGTATTTTCAGTATAGGATGTATAGTATAATTGATTGTTTTGTAAATAAAATATTTTTGATAAGATTATTGCTGTGTTTTTTTAGGGGAGGGGAAGTCTCTTACTGATTGTAATGGTAAGGATTTAAGAGTGGGTATGCAGAAAAAAGATCATGGTTGGTCAGAGATAGTACGTTATTTCATGATACTTACATTAGGTAGATAGCCCCCAAATTGGTATGTTTTTAAAATCTGTAAAACTTAAGATGCACAACCAAACACACACACACAATTACCTTTGTCTCTGATTTTCTTTTATGTCCTTTGAAAGCAGCTCAAATTTATACAAAGGTTTTATTATAGTAACATAGCAGGAAAAAGAAATCACTGATGTGAAGAAAACTGAAAATACTTGTTCATTTTAGCATTATGAAAAATAATAGAAAAATCATAATATAAAATTGAATATTAGGGTAATGCTTAAATTGTGGCTTACTGAGACAATGAAGCATGGTTAGCCATTAAACTCAGTGTTTTCTAAGAATATATGAGGATATTGGATAAGTGTCATGCTCTAAAATACCTGACTTTTGTACAATAAAAATCACAAATTTGTAAAAAATTTTTTAAAACGTGGTCTTCCCTAATACTGAGGATATGGCCAATTTATATCCTGTATACATTTTTGTATTCTCCAAATACTGTAAAATGTTTTGCTTTTATTTTATTTTTGGCACCAGGGATAGAACTCAAGACTTTGCACTTGCAAGTCAGGCACAGTGCCACTGAGCTAAATTCCTGGCTGTATTGCTTTTACAATCAGAAAAAGTATAATAAATACTGTTTTTAAAAATGGGTCAGGATATCCAAATGCATTTCCTGTGTTGAGGAACTTTGACAGTCAGTTATCCCGTTTTATCATTTGTCCCTCAAATCCATCTTATTTCCCAATTTTATTTATTAACTTCTAAGAATCTTTAATTACTTTGGTACTGTGAACTATAGCCACTGAGAGTGTTGCCTTGGTAAAGAACAGAAACATTTATGGTTCCTGTCACTATAATTCTCTAGAAAGGCAGTTAGTGATGTCTAGGGGGTTGAAATCTTCCAATGTGAGGTGACATTTCAGATTTTGTGACCTTGTATTTTGTCACAGGGATCCTCAACACTGCCATTCTAGCACAAAAGCATCCACAGCCAATATGTAAATGAAAATGTGTGGCTGTGATCCAGCAACATTTTATTCATAAACACTGCAATTTAAATTTTACATAAATTTCATACTGTACAAAATGTTCTTTTGATATTCTTCAAAGATTTAAAAAATACATAACTATTCTTAGTCTCTAGTATTACCGAAAGTCAATGAGCCAGATGTACCCTGAAGGCCATAGATTGATGAACATGCTCTTTGCGAATCTTGACTTGTTTGTACCGTGAAATGCACAGATACACTTTCTGAGCACATGCTGGGCCTCAGATATTGTCAGCCTATTTTGTAGATCAGCTACTTTAGTTACCACACCAATCTCAAGGGGTTCTGTTAATGTTTTTTACTATTAGTAGTACCTGTTTGAGGTACATAATGATTACATTCACTGTAGGGAATTGGTACATGTACATGACACATGTCAACTCCCCTCTTCATCCCCTCCCTCCACCTCCTTTTATTTTTCCAGCATTAGATTCATTTTTTTATCATACAAGACTTATGGGTTCTGTTAGTACTGCAGTTTTGCAGGTGAGGAATTTGAAGCTAAATGAAATTTAGTAAGGGAAAATCAGAAAGCCAGTAAAAGTGCTGGTGGAATTTGATGTCCTGGCACCCTGACATCCAGCTCACCCCTTAAATCAGACTCCCTGTGAAGCAGCAGCAGCATGTGAACCTTTGCCAGAATCGCAAATTCATCTCCCTGTCCTAGCATACTGAGTCAAGATGCAGAGAATCAAATAATACGTCCTGGGGTACATATTTAATCTGATCCCCAGGTAACTTTTAGGCACGTTAACATTGGAGTGTCTTAATCCAGGATCTTGTCACTTCTAAGATGGCTTTCTGCTCAAATAATTGTGTTTTCCTATTGAACTTTGCTACTTGTACTACCTTTTATGGGTATTGGCAGATGTCTGTTTTAAGTTTGTTAAATCCCCGTTATAGGTAAGAAAAGAACGAGGTACTCCTTCTGTCTGTACTCAAAGAGCTTATAACTGAATAAGAAGGCTGAGATGTTGACACAGAAATCCCACGCAAGTCAAGAGAACATGTATGTAAACTGCCACAAGGATGTGAACAGAAGCTCTGAAGTTAGCGTGGCATTGGGGTTGATTCTCTAAGGGTGTGCAAACGTGGATGGAAACAAGGTCTTCCCAGTGGGAGAGACTCTGTGAGTAAAGCGGTGGAGGTGAGATTTTAGTAGGTAGTTCTTCAGACAGAACTCACACATTTTAATAGAGGTGTGGGTTGTATTTAAGAAGTGTGACAAAATGGGAAAAAAAGTAAATTGGAAGGTGGGTCATAAATGAGCACAGCTGGTGGAAATACCAAAATGAGGTGCTTAATTTTGATAGTTCGTGTAGGGATTTTTGACAAGAAGGTGCCATTATTAAAGGCAGGGTGCATTCTGGTGGATTGAGTTTGAATACCCCACATGGAAATTTGTTTATAATCACACCTAAGTGTGTGCACAGTTACAGTAAATGCATATTGTTTTCTCAAACACCTGATTACACTTGTCATCCAGCTTCTTGCTGGGCACCCTCACACTGTCTTAAGCTCTTTTCATGTGGGCAGCCCTACTGGGGGTCACAGCAGTCATGTGATCCCATCTTTGCTATTCATCTACACTCATGTCCCAAACTCACAAAGTTCTTTGTGTCTTACCTAAACCTTACCTAAACTCTAATCACCTTTCTGCCCCATTTCTATTTTATCCAACACATTCTCCATATTTCTGTCAAAATTATCCGTCAGATGCAACTCTGGATGCAAAGTTTAATTTTATTTTAATTGTAATATTATTAAAGCATCAAACATTTAAGAAAACATTCGAGATTAATGATCAGCTATTCTGTCTCGAGGGCCCTTCCTTAGGGTACTCCACAGTGACACTGCACTGAATGTTTTGTTTCTTCTGAATAAATTTTGCCTTTCTCATTTTTCTTACTCTCAATTTGAAGTGCAGGTTCACCCCTCCTGCATCTTTGTATCTACTTGTCTGAATTCTATTTCCTGTATTTCACTAGCATCTCCTTTCCCAAATTCCTTAACTTAAAAGGATAGCTCCCTTCTTTTATAGCATTTCATTCTACCTCTGCTATGAGCACTGACTTACTTCTGTCTCGTGTTAGGGATTTTAAAGTGCATGGTGACAACTGAGTACACTAAAATTGTTTTGAGATTAAGACTGCATATATGCCTTCATCCTTTTTGAATCATCCATCATAACTAGCACAATTAAATGATCAACAAAATTTGGTGAATAAGCCAATGAATACATGAAAGAGCAAGAAAGGAAGAATGGACCCAAATCATGAATCTTACACTACTGCTCTTGTCACCAGAAAAAGTACCTGTGCACTGTCTATGATGTAAAGACATTCATTTAACAAACAACTTTTGACTACCAGTGGTGTGCT